AGTAGCAAGAAATTCACCAGTTATAGCTTTAGAAACTTTATGTTGAACTAAGACCCCTCTCATTTTTTGCTGCCAAATGAAAAAATCTCATTTTCCATTAAAAACTCCAAATTCAAATGTTATCATTGTCATTTGAAGTTTTTATTCAACATAAAGAAATTTTTGAGGTCACAGTTCCACAGAAAAAACAGTAAACATATCTTTCAAATAACCCGTTTAAAAGATCACACAGAACATAGTGTAACCAAGCAGGAATGAAAACATATCAAAACTGAAAAATAGATTATTAACTCAACGAACAGTAGATAACAGTGATAATATGCAGTTTAATAAATCCAAAGAATCACAAAGATAGAACGGTGAGATTAAACAGGTCTATAATCACAGAGAATATAGCTACTGAAAACAAATAGACTAATAATCAGAATTCTATCAGTTCCAGGTGTTAGAATTCACCAGGATTCCGTGAGGTTCAAGACCCCAGGTCAACGCTCAATTCTAAACACCAAAGGGACACATAACAATGGGGAAATCAGGGAGAATTTACAACATTCAGATATGGTAATTAACAAAATAATGACAGGGTTAAGGAATTTTTCACCAAAAAGGTTCGATAAAGAACAAGCACTAAGCATATTCGATCGACCAATCAAATGCAGCTCGAAGTCCAGAGCTCCCAACGGGTTCACCAAGAACACAGGGTCCAACAAGAAACACGAAAGACAGAGAAAGATTATTAGTAGCCAAAACCGAAAGAAAAATAAAATCGGGGGGAAAATTAGGGTTAAGGTTTCTCTGTAATTCGATCGATTTTTAGGGCATCAGCTGGAAATCGATTTTCCAGTGACAAACCGTAAATCGAAGACTCAAGAACGCCTTACACACACTCTGATACCACTTGTAAGGAAATAAGCCTAAAAAATCAAATGGAAGCAGTCAAGAATTCACCAAGAACACCGAACAATATACACAACGAATCATCTATTTTCTTTAGGCTCAGAAATAAAATATTGTACCCGTCTGTACAATATAGAAACGACCACAATAGCCCCAAACCCCAAGACAATAACCCTAAGCAGCCACTACAATGGACTCGATCGAATTCATCAATCTACCAGTCGAAACTCCCCCTCAATCACAGAGATTACAACACAAAGAACAATGATTAAAACCAGGTGTTTTAATCCTATCACGAAGACAGAAGTAGAGAAGGAAGAAACGAGCAGAATCACAAAGACAAAAAACCCCAGAAACTTTTCTCGCACACAACGGAAGTGGAAGAATGAGAATCACACCCAAAATAGACGGTCAAGCTGGTATATATGGACAGCCTATCAACCGTAGATCTGATCCTCATCCGACGGTCCAGAGCAACACACTTGGGTAAGTCTTGGGCTTGGGTATTGGGCCTGAATCTTGATTGTGTTATTGGGCAATGGTTGAAACTTATTCAACAATGGGCTGAGCCCTTTTCTTTTCATCATAGCCCAAAGTGTTAGGAACCAAATGTCACAAATGGCATCAAATTCCAACACATGCTATAGATTCTATTAATGCTATTTTTTTTAATATATCACAATGTATAATTATTTATCAATTACATAAACATTACATCATTAGTTATTTAATTGACCAAAAAAATTACATCTGGCATCAAATTCCAACACATGCTATAGATTCTATTAATGCTATTTTTTTTAATATATCACAATGTATAATTATTTATCAATTACATAAACATTACATCATTAGTTATTTAATTGACCAAAAAAATTACATCTGGCATCAAATTCCAACACATGCTATAGATTCTATTAATGCTATTTTTTTTAATATATCACAATGTATAATTATTTATCAATTACATAAACATTACATCATTAGTTATTTAATTGACCAAAAAAATTACATCTGGCATCAAATTCCAACACATGCTATAGATTCTATTAATGCTATTTTTTTTAATATATCACAATGTATAATTATTTATCAACTATATAAACATTACATCATTAGTTATTTAATTGACCAAAAAAATTACATCTTTATTAATAAAAATTTAATTCTTAACCAAAATAATTATATATAAACTAAGCAAACGTGCAACATAGTGTGTGTGTGTGTGTGTGTAATTGTTTTAAAAACATTGTTTCAACATTTCAAAAATAAAATCATCGCTAGAACATGAACAGGGACATCAATAAATGGTCAAAATGATTCTTAGTCGCACACAAAAAAATTTGTATTTGATTTGAAATCAATACACTAAATTAAACAGAATTAAAGATAATAATTTACATGGCTCCTGAATTTTTTCAATTCTATTTAGCCAAACATGTACAAAATCTAGCAATTATACTCGTCAGTCGAAACGTATGCATGCGTGTTCTATACCATCTAAAATGTAATGTTTACACGAAAGAAAGATATATGTTAGTCATAATTGAATTGAAAGATTGAACATTTCAGTGTCGGATCAATTCAGTTTTTATCTTCTACAGTCGACATTCTCAAAAAAATAAATAAAAAAAAAATAAAAAATCAAATCAAATTTAATTACATCATAATCAATTGAGGGATCCACTCACAATTAGTACTGTTAAGATTCAAAATTGTCAAAGTGTCATTTACTATTGTCGTTAAAACTTTTCATTTCTGCATTGTGATGCCAAACTTGAAAAACAAATGAAAGACGATTAAAATTCAGACCGAAAGCTTCATTATTCTTCCATCACGAAAAATGATACATAAATACAGCTTTCCTGCACTATAAATTCTGCAATAATTACTTTACAAGCATGAATTTTCAGTTCACGAATGTAGGCATGTAAATTTCAATACATTAAAAAGGAACAAATATTGAAACATTTATTGATGAAATCATATTAAATTTATGCAAACTCTAATTGGTGGCTCGCGTTTCGGGGGGTCCTATGAACAATGCCGTCTCGACTTCCTTAACTTGAGCAAGAGCCCCCGAGTCTGGAATTATTGACAGTGACAATGGCACCATCTCACGCTGCACAAATCAAATATTTAACTAATTGTTTCAGTCATGTTCAATAAATGTTAACATCAATCACAAGCTATATCCACCGGTTACAATTAGAGTTAGTTGTAAAACGGATTTGGTCGAGCCAATTTATCTAGGCAGAGGCCTGGAGTGACCACACTTCTTGACAAATTAGGCTGGACCAGTCATCCAAGAAAATGGTGCACGTTTCTTTTTTAGTTATGTCTAATCATATTTAATCTAGGACATACTGAACATGAACTAAGCTTGATTTCTCAATTGCCTCACACTTGAAGGCATGAAGTAGAAATATGCAAAAAGGGTAAGGCTACCAACGTGAATATAAGAAAGTGTGGGCAAAAGTTGATTCCAAAACACATAGTCAAAGGGCAGTGGCAAATGTAATATGACCAAGAGTACATTTATCAGATGCAAGCAAGATCGCTTAGAAATCAAAATCACACACATATAGTGGTAAGGAAATAGAGTTGCTGATTGGATAGCTAATGTTGGATATAAATAAAAGAGATTCAAGTGTTGCAGTTGAATAATTTTAAAGTAGTAAAAGGCCTGATCACTTTGGTAAATGGTCTATGGCCTCAATCAGAATGATAAAAGGTTGACACATGAGCAGTTTGGGTTGATGGAGTCGAAAAGAATGAGACCTTATTGCAATTGTGAAAGGAGTACCGGCACAAGCTGGCCGCAAAAGAGATAAATTCTATGTTGTAAATGGAGTAATACTCCCAATTGCATACATAGGGCATTGCTTGTATCAGTAGTAGCACTCCTTGTTTTTCCTTTATGTTTAATAATTTGGAAGGTAAGGTACATACTTCTCCCTCCTTTATCTTGTAACATTTTTTGTCATCAATAAAAAGATTATCTCAGGCTTGGATTTTCAAGCTGAGATATTTTGCCAAAAAAAAACAATAACATCGTTTTCTTAAAATAAAATTAGCATGTAAAACCCACCTTTTTTCTTAATTCTTCGTTTTGTTTTCCTAAGATTTTCTCCTGCATTATCAAAGAAAAAGGTTCAAAATAACAAGCACTGCAAAAACAATTTGTATACATAAAATTGTGCATTTTATAAAAGAAAATTTTCTTAAAATATAAAGACGTGAATTACCTGTTCTTTCAGCTGATCAATCTGCTCTTTGAATAACAAATTCTGGGCATTTTCAAATGACAGGCTTAGTCAAGCTTATTTTTTATGTTAGCAGTTTGCTTTATGGACTGGACAAAATGTTATGACATACCTTTCTCGCCCTAATGCTGATTAAACTTCGTTCCAACTGTTCTTCGACCTGTTGTAATTCATCTATGGAACAAGTATCCAAACCATCTCCTAGAAGCTTTCTGTCATGAGTCCAAGAATCACAGAAAATTAGGGCTGTCCGTGTTCTGAAGAGAATCGAACCGACCCAAAACTTTCGGGCACTTAATAAATGGAACCGTCAGGTCCAAATATAATTATGGAACCGTTCGGGTTCGGTTCCGTACCATAATTAAATTTTTTAATATTTATAGCAACCCTACATAAATACAACTAATGACATTTCATTCGTAACTTTTACAAATTAACGTAGCTCAATTCAAAAACATATAAATAACTAGCCGTCCAATAAGATTAATTCAGTGTATACAAATACCNTTTATTTAATTAATTTGTTAATTTATAAAAAAATAAAATAATTTAATTAATTCAATATAAAAAATAATAAAAAATTATTTAGTTTCAGTTCTTATTCGATTCTTCGGTTCTTGGTCTAGACCCGAGACCCGACCCAAGCTCATCGATTCTCGATTCGGGTACCGTTCGGGTATTTAACTTATGAAGAACTGCTCGATTCGGTTCGGTTCGGTCCGATTCGGGACTTTTGGACACCCCTACAAAAAATGACTCAAGTCGTGTACTTTAAATTACTTCTAAGAATATTTTTTGTTTACAAACATTGTTTGATAATTTACTTTCGAATAAAGTCTCTTATTTTTAAAACAATCAATACCTTATAGTAATTGAAATTATTAACTTAAATAGTTTCCAAGTTCAGCTAATTATTCGAAAACCTAGTTACATGTACGCTTTTTGGGTTTAGCCAACATGCTACGAGTATCCTTTTTGTTAGGTGTACAACATTAACAATTAGCAGCTTATATGGAAAGAATAAGACTAGAAGAACAACCTCTTTGAATCCTCAAGGAGCTCGATCTTCGTCCTCAGTTGTGCAGTCTCGCCTTTAAAATTCTGCGTGGATTTAGTAAATTTAAGGTAGAGAAAAACTGAAGAGGCCATAATGTTAATTGTGGTAGTTTCTAATGAAAAATCATTTGAAACTCAAGAACGTTGAAGAATTTAAAAGATCGACGTTCTAGACAGTTGTAAACCTTGATAATTAGTTTAATCTATATAAAACAACTAGATCATCATGACTTGTAAAAGTTATTCAACAATATTGAATAATGTATACTGCACAATCAAATTAAGAACTAAACCGTTCTTGAATGCAATCAAATGTTCTAAAAACATTTGGTTGCAGATATCATAATCCATTTAGATACCCCAGTTGCGTTCTTTTCTTCACAATTTTGGTATTCCCTATCTCATTTTACGAATAAATTACTGATGGTTGTATACAAAATTTCAAGCGTTTAAAATGACCTCCTTTGGTATCATAATAAGTTCTTATTTTCACATTCAGATCAGTTCCTCATGTTCAGAAGCTGGAGCCAAACCAATTCATTTGATTAGTTGAGCAATTGAGCTTATAATTCACATAGCCTAATTAATATAGAGGCACAACAAGCAGACAGAGAGCATGCTTAGCACTTGATTGCAGCTTATCAGTCACATAAAAGAAATAATTACCCGGACTGAGGAGAATCTGACCTCAATATTTTGTTCAGTTGTTTTTTGTTCAATGGATCGGTTTTTGACATTCTTCAGATACCGTTGTGTGGTTTTGTTGACACTGTAAACATTTCGAAATACCACAATGAAGAAAATTGCAATCAAAGTAAACTTTAGGACAACAGGAAAAAGGAAAACAAAATCACTATACTAAATATAACTCTACTACATTAGTCAACATTCAATTATCATAGTAAAGCATATAAATATAATTTGCGTATTGTTTACCTAGTTTGCATCGTTTATCCCATCTTGAAAAAGAAGATTTAGCCTACTTTTTTCTCCCCCTTGGCACTTTGATTCTACCCTAGTTTTTAAGATAAACCTGGACTATCTTTCAGTATAAACTACTTTAAAGATTCTTCATAATCTCACTTATTATACATACTTCTGAGAGAATTTGTTCAAATGCTTTGTGCTCTTTTCATATATTTTCTCATATTATGTAGTTTCAGGGTAATTTGGTGTCTAAATACTTTAGACTCTTTACATTCTTCCCTATAGTTATTCTTTTAGTATCAGTCCCTGGACATAGGTCAAGTGTTGAATCACATAGATTATTTGCGATCTTGTTGTCTTTTATATTCGACCTACCAGCTTTAAGGCCTCCACACAACACGTCACAAGAAGGAAATGAGCGATTGTGGCAAGGAAGCGATTCACAGAAAAACTTTTAACAACGATAGTGGTTGACATGTTACTTTGGTGGGAATAATACTTGTAAGCAACAATATTTCTGTGCCCATTTAGTCTCTTCATAAATGAGGTCTGTGTGTAGAATATTTCAGATAAAACAAAATGAAAGGAATTAAGGAATAATAATTCTATCCTGATTTAGGATCATAAGGAACCTCACATCAATTTTACAATCAAATTAAGCATGGTTCGAGAGAAAATTGTACACTTGGTCGACACGCTTAAATTTCATGAAGCCAAACCGAGAAACACGCTTTGGTTTCATTTGACATTACATAAGGAGAGGGGAAGGAGAGGGGAGAAAGGTTTCAAGCCACCCCTGCAAGAATGACTACTTCTATGAAACCGTTCTATTTTAAGAGATATATACGCTATATTGGTTTAGATCAGGAGACAGGGAAGAATATGTTTTAGAAAACTGAAAATATTTAATTGGTGCTTGTTTGATAAAATTTTGACTTTTATCAACATTTCAACTAGTCAAACTTCAATTTTAATCACATATTTCATGTGACTCATAATTTTTATCAATTTTTCAACAACACATTTTATCGACTTTTATCAAAATCTGCTAAATCTATAATCAAAAGATTTGTCAAACAACTCCTTAAATCTCCAATGCATATTTAAAATTGGAGAACATATCCAATAACACTAAGTCAAAATAACGACGAGCTAAGAAATCAAATAAACTAGTGGAAAGAACATCTCTTCCCAATTATACTCAAATAAAACCTTTGCTCAAGCAAAGAAAATACTTCACAATCATCCCCTATTGAAGTCCTTAATTCAGGAAAAGAACTGCACTCAATCATCTATGAATAAGCCTCAACTCTTGTAATGAACAACTCCACTCAACAGCCACACATCAAACTTGCACTCCTCGTATCAAGTCTCGAGGAAAGGACAACTGAAATCCCTACAACCATGGAAGAGTTTACTTTCGTACAGTATTTGCTTAAAAGAAACCATTTTTTTCTTTTCGATCTTTGTTCCATTTGTCTGTCAAGGGCACTTTGTGTGAGTGAATATGTGAGAGCGTGCGCATGTAGGATGCCTTTTCTAATCACACAATAGAAAATGATACATTAGACTTATGTAACATTCCATTTTTTTCTTTATATCCAATTTAAAAAAACACTAGTCTTCTTCCACAAACACAAAAATCTCCCTTGTTAAAACCCAAATTTCCATTCAATCATTTGTCCAATGTGCTAGTTTGATTTCTAACAAAGTTTCCTCGACTGATATCCCAAATCTTAACTCGAATTCAGAGACTTGGGGTCATCATCATTAAGATAAAAAATTGATTCATCTTAAAAAAGGTTACTAATCAAGAGCATGCTACATGGTTTATAATGATGAGCTCGTTACATCTTGGTTTATAATTAAAAAATTGATCAAACTTGAACATTCATTGAAGAAGAACTGCGACAAATTGTCAGCAATTGGATAATCGCTATCCATTGTTGACAATGTCTTCCAATTTGCAAGAGGACTTGGATCATAATACTAGGATTCAAAACTGCTCTGCTATCAAAGCCTTCCCTTCTGAGAGGGCAAATCAGATATCACCTATGAAAGAAAAGTTGCACAATTTGGCTGAAACAAAACGTTTGACTATTGTACCCCTAACCTAATACTGCAAATGTATTGATTCTAAATTGGTTTCCTGAACAAATCATCATGAAGATGGAAGAGCACAGAGGTTCAAAGTTCACCTTGTAACAATAGGATATACCCAAGGTTTTGACTTAGTTATTGGAGAAACATTTTGTACAATTGTCTAGCCAACATTTTGTACAGTTTTATGGCGGCCATCAAACTTCTCATACACCTAAATCGTATAGTACTTTCCTTTTCTAGTAGCCACTTTCATTCTCCACAAAAATTATATGAAATTAGGGCTCTTATTTATAATTCTAGGAGCACTCCATTTGATGTTCTCACATAAACCATACATTAGACATACTTGATATGTATATATGAATTCTTATATGTTACATTTAATAGTATAGATTAATTCTACTAATACAAGTGATTAATGATGAAGTGTCAATATTCTATGAATCTTCTTTCAAAATTCGTTTTCACAAGTCCAGTTTAATTTCATATAATAAAGTCAATGCCATATAGCTACTAAAGACCATCTTTGGTGAAGCCCTTTAAAATTTTGGAGATAGGTATAGTTTTCCAGCGTAGGAGCAGTAAGAAGGGTGAAGGCTAAGTTTCTTAAGAAACTGAGATAATATATACTTAATCTAGTGAAATATGAGGCAGATTTAGAGGTAATGAACAACTTGTCCATAAAATAGTTGGTCAAAATAACAAAGAACTAAGCAAACTAACACAAAAATGGAACTTGGACTTAAGACCTTCAATCCCATCCAAAAACCTAACTCAGTTCTTATCACTAGAACAAAGGTTCGAATATATGATATGTAAGTCTTTGATACATTATTTAAGGCATCAATTGGCTTTTTTACTGGTACCTATGTTGAAATTCAAGGATTTAGTTGTTCAACATTAAATTCTTGAGAGATATTTTTGGACGAAAAAACTTAAGTCAAAGTTATATTATCGTGTTTAATCTAAGAGTCCGTTATATAATTGATGAATGTTAGATTCGTGTAGCATGTGATTCACGTACTTTTTAAATATATGATCGTAGTAGCGGGAAGTAGTTAATAATTGATAAATACATGTATTTGCTAAGATTCATGTTTCTTAAGAAACGTAAAAAAATAACTTGTTAAGAGACAACAGGAAAAGGGATAGCACGGAATTCTTTCAAATTTATTAAGCAATTGAAATGCATGTCAATGAGAATAGAGAAGACCACAAATTCAAAAGAAGCATGGGAAATTATTGCATTATTTTTTAAATGTGAAGAAGGTATGCTTAAAAACTTTGATAATAGAAAAAATTATAGATGAAAGAGAATGAAATATTTCAAAAAAAATTTTTACAAAAATGAATTCAATTGTGAACCAATCGGTTTTGTATGGAGATTTTTAGAGAAGTAAAGAATCTTGTAAATTGAAATCTAATCTTCGTATTCTAGCAAGTAAAATTGTTCATCTTGTGGTTGATGTCAGCGAATCTAAATTTCCTTCATCTTAACCTTCGGAAGATTTGCAAGAAAGTTTGAATCTAACGAATTTCAAATTAGTACGAGAAATCGCCCAAGTTCCTTTCACATGGCGCTAAATTATATTTGCGGAAGGCCGTGGTTCAAATCATAGACATGGACAAGTCCATAGACAACTCATGTACAAGGAAGAAGAGATAATGGAAATAGCCAATAGTTTCTGGACAAACTAGCACATCCTAAGGCGAAGCGTCCAGATTGCTTGATTCAAAAATAGGTCAAAACAAGATCACACAACTGAAGCTTAATCACATGATTGGGGCATTATTTCCATACCACAACAAAATCCACATTTTTATACTGCATTGTATCTGTTATGTTTTCTTTAATTTTATAATTTGCTTTATGTCTTGCACCGAGTGCATACATTTTTCATTAACATCATTGCAAGTGGTTTTCCCATTTAAACATTGTTTAGTTATTGTAAAAGGATCATTTAAATTATCAGTAAATAGAACTTCTTTCAGTTTGATTTGTTCGAAATTTACTATCATAGTTACTGTATTTTCTGTTGAATGAAAGAAATTATTTTATCTCTTTTCTGCTCATCACAAGGACGTGGCATAAGTAATAACCTCATAGAAGAGAGGAAGGGATACAAACTTCGTGCATAAATCAAAGAGAAACGGATTGCAGATTTTATGAAAAAGGTACACGAATATAAACCTAGACATAACGTTACTGAATGTTTGTACAAACAAAGTAAATGGAGCTGTGTTTGTCCATGAAAGTGAAATTGAAAATGTTTAGGAAACACTGGTGATTGCTTGTGACAAAAACATGTATGGCATGTGGATGTTGATGCTACCTACAACGGGTGTAGGAAAATAAAATTATTCTTAAATCTTGTTGAAGCTAGCTATGGAGAACTAAGCACGTGTTATTTCCCTTAAAATTTAGGGATTAGAGATACAGCATTCAAAATTAAGCATGGCAATTGAGAAGAAATCTCTAGTTTATTACATTCCAAGTTTGGGAAGCAACCTAGTAAATGTTGGTCAGCTCATGAAGAAGGGTTTTGACTTTCATTTTTCTAGAATGTTTGTATCGTGAAGAAAAAGAATCAACTTGTCGCAAAAATAAGCTCGAGCTCCAATAATTTTTAACTAATGAAACTTGATGTTGTTAAATCACATTTTTCGTCCGAACTTGATCATAAAGGGAGTGATGGTCAGCTTACTAAACAATCTCTCGAAAGTTCATAAATTGGAAGATTGATAACATCCAAGCTTCACAAAATAGCAACAAGTCAAAAATCATCTCTAAATTCACCATCTATCCAAAAATGAAGAACCAGGAGTTTGAAAGAACTTAAGAGTCAACAAAGATCATCCAAATTGCTAGGAGTTTCAAAAGGGAAACATACATAACGTGTGAGAAAAGGATTACTGGCCTTTTTAAAATTGAAAAAGACAAGGAAGCTTTAAAGTCATTACCTAACAGAAAATTAGGGACACATGCAAGAAGAAGAAAGGAGATGGCAAATATTATTTAGAAAAGATGATGGCTCCTTGACATGGTTATGAAAAGAATGGATTGTAGTTTTGGGAATCAAAATTTTGGTTTACGGAAGGCCAAGGAATAAATCAAATTCAAAGTTGTGTTCATGTATTTGAGTATTCTTAGATGTATTTGAATATTAGATGCATGTAGTCATGGGTTCACGTAATTGTTAAATAAACGAATCATTTAGGGAGAAGTATTTAATAACGTCTATAAATTGCACGTGTATTAATAGAAATGCTAGATCCCTTCAAACTGGTTTTATTAACAAACTTTGTCGTGTTATTGCTTATATATGAATTCTTATTTGAAAAACTATACTTCAAGAAGAATTTCTGATACTGGCTAGAAAAGTATCGATGAAAGATAATGCTTATTTTGAACGTGAGTTTATGTTTTACAAAGATTCTGAGAGGGTATATTCTCATATTATCAAATATTTCATAATTTCATTTTGTGGAATATTATCATTCTCATTTCCTCATTACTTTTGGGACACCTTCATTTTGTAAAGTTAGCATAGGCCTTATATGTTAGTTCCTGCGAAGTATGTTACTTCCGCAGCAACATCAGATTCAGGTTTATTACAGTTGTAAAATATATTGTATTCAACCATTCCAGATATCCTATTATCTTCCTATGCTTCTCTCTCTTAGAAACCCTAATTAGCAACATGAATCTAAGTTGTTTAGGCAAATCAGAAATAACTACTTATGATAATGTATCATGTATGCTCCTATTGTTTGAACTAATAGTACAATGGTCGTTTCACATCAAAAAAAATGTACTATGGATCAAGTTTGAAGAAAAGGGATGCAGATTTGAGAGCGAAGAGGTGTAATTTTGAATGAATTGAAAATTACGAGGAAAATTTTAGTTTTCTCGAGTAGAATTGACAAAAATTAATTAAGCTAATTAAGAAGTTCTTGGGGCCACATTCAATTCACGTCACACGATTGATGCATCTGATAGTCCTTCTCTAATGTAAACTAGAATACGAATTCATTATAGTGATAAATATTTAACATGTTCGCTAAATGTTGATTCACAATTTAACATAGTGATCAAAGAACGAACTCAAAATAAAATACCAAACAGCATATATAGGGAGCTATAATAAATAAAACAAGGTATCAAAAACTGTTATAGTCATAACACAGAATTATTTTCTCAAGTGCATGTAAAGTTGAATATAAAAAGATAAGAGAAATTAAAGAATTGTAAGGTTGAACATAACAGATAGAGAAATTAAAGAATGGTAATACTTAGTTATAGCATACATTACAAGCATTAGTACCTAGATACATACATTCACATCATACGACATATTTTGTTAACATATTCTTCACTAATGGATTCAACTTACTAGTCCCTTTATCCATCTGTTATAGTCCCTGTTCGTTTTAAATTGCATTAAAGCCGTTATTTTTTCACAAATGAGTAATTATTTAAATGGCATTTCGTCGGTGTCGGCCCAACAGAGTGCTTTTTCGCAAGCGGAAATTAAACGTTAGACCATATTTTTCAAAATAGATAGCTATGTTATGCTACGCATATATATTTACTCTAATTATATTAACATATAATATTATCCAAAAAAGTGAAGAACAATTCCACTTTTCAGTGCCAGGACCCAACAATTAAAATGAGATAGAGGGAATCTAGAAAATTACAAATTCATTTTATTCAGATTATGCTTGCTTGTTATGTTTTAGGATTGGAACACATGATCTTGTCCTAATAGAAATTTATTTACTCCAAAAGCTTCAAAATGCACATAGATAGAAATTAAACTGTTATCTCTTGTACTCAAACTGTAACAGAAGTATACTATGCACACTTAGCAAAAGAAAGCCACTCGTTATTTCGATCTATATCCCCTTCCAGCCCCTTCCGGCACATCAAACTTATCCTTGTGGAATGTGGATTTTGTAAGGGTCTTGTCATAGTACCGTAAAGAGTATTCTTCAGCCAAAAATAGGTGAACTAATGTTTAGCAGAAAACACCTTACCCCTTCTTTTTATAGTAGTTGTGATCAACTGAAAGTGGGTGAGGGCTTTCAGTTCAAGCTGTGACTACATTGTCATCATGATCGTCCTTTTCTTTCAGGTGAGTGACCTAAGCCAGTTTCTTATCAATGGACCTTTGACAAGACAATGCTTTGATATTAAAAATTACAGTTCTACTATGTGTACAGAGAAGAGTTGCCAGAATTTCTATAGAATACACTTGACAGTTTTCTATTGGAAAATGGCAAAAAAAAAGGCGCAGCATGTATTGAAATTCTGGCAGTTTTTCCCATGTACAAGGGGAATTTCTGTAAAAAATATGAAAACTTAAAAATTGTATGTATATTCCACCAAAGGCTCAAAATTGCATTCTTAAATTATTGACAATAGTCTATCACTGCCGAATATCTATATTTGGTTTCTTAATTGTTTTTTATTAACAAAATACTAAAGCCTTGAATAGATTATAGAGTACTACAATTTCCTGTAATGCTTTCTTCAATGGAGTATAATTTAAGCATAAAATCATGAAAAGAATAAATTACTTAATATGTAAGTGTACTAATTTCATGGGGTTTCCCACTTATGTAGGTGTATATATTCATTATGCTATATTTGTATTCGAAAAAAGAATTAAAAAACTCCAAAATCAATGGAAAGATTTAACATTTTATACAGATCTGCAGGTAAGATTAAATTTCAGGCATATAAAGCAAGAAACAAGATAGAAAGGACCCCTTTCACAGAAATAAAGCCTGGTCATTGTACTTGTTTGACAAATCGAAATAATCAAAATTTCAACTTGCATCCGATGTACTAATTACTATTTCATGTAAGTATATGTACGAGTACAAAACTACATAGCCAAATAAAAAAGATATTAAAATTCAACATACTATTTTTAGCGCTTAAACTGTATATTAGAAGCATTAAAATAAAATATACCTGGAACTTGAGAATTCATAGAGTTTTCCTTTGGGAGAGAAGATTATAACTGCAACTTCAGCATCACAAAGAACTGAAAGTTCAAAGGCCTTCTTGAGCAGCCCACTTCTGCGCTTGGAAAAAGTCACTTGCCTGCTTGTTGCATTTTCAATCCTTTTCATCTGAGTTTTCCCTCTCACCATTTTGTTTATATAAGTATAATATATATTTATATTTATTTCAACAAAGGATGAGTGTAAGATACAAAAGAAAAAAAATGATTAAGGGCTCAATACAAGTGTCAGAAAACAGCACCAAATCAAGAAAATCAGAAAAGAAAAAGGAGTTCCAAAAATAGAAATGGATTATGTTGAAAATACGTACAAAAACGGTGATGGGTTTTTCAGATCTGTGAAAACAAGGGAGAAAAAAGATGAAAGCTTTGTGGGTAGCAGAAACCCTAATTTGATTTCCAAGAAAATTGGGCAAACAAATGGATATATTCTACTAGTGAGCTTGAGTTTCAATCAAAGAGCAAATGATTAAAGGAAGACCGCAGAGGAATAAAAACCTCATCTCTTTCTTGATTTGGAAAACTCACCAGGAGCACTAAAATACACAACCCAAAAAAGAAATGGAGTATAATACTGCAAGCAACAAGGAAATTTTTTGGGATTATTCTTTATTTTATCAAGGGCACGTTTGATTCCATTTTTTCAAAAATTCATTTTTTTTTTTCAAAACTCATTTTCAACCACACATTCTTCAATTAAATAATATTACACGAAAATCCAAAAAAAAATCTTATTTTTTAACCAAATATTTTCT